CCCATTTCCACCTCTAGTAACTACAGTTCTGTTCTGTCCTTCTAAAGATTATAGTTTGCTTTGATATAAAAATATTTTGCTTCACTCAAAATTTTTAGTGATGAGATTTACCTTTGTTCTACTATTAATTGACACTTACATGTTGGCTGTTATTTGTTACATGTTTAACAGATATTTGTAGCTAACAAATTAATAAATTAAGGGAATTTGTATCTGTTGAACAATTTCATAGAAAAGTAGCAGAAGGCTATGCAAATGCCTTTAACAAGAACTTGAATTTCCAGTAAAACGATTCCCTAATCATAATCCTAGACCGGAGGCTGGAGCTATTGTCTCCATACTGGGGATCATGGACTGGTAGCATTGGTAGACACAAAGAGAATTATTGGAGAAGGAAGAGAAAATAAGTGTTGTATTTGTTTATATTTAGTTTTAAATAAAATATTGGATATTAAAATATCTTATGTTAGTATATAGATTAATAGCAGTACTGTTTATTGTTCCATGGATCACACAGTCCTGTGCCTAATGTATCTCCTAGCTGTAGTAAGGAAAAAGTGGTCTCTCACTATACGGAAGGGTGATGTTCATTGCAACTCGTAGTTTTTGTTGCCCAGTTACATAATTTATGTATTAATAACTAATTTCACACTCACATCATGCATTAAACATTATATATTACATATAACACTAATAATGTAAACACTAGTGAACAACAAAATCTTGATAGAGATGGTGAGTCACCTAATTTTAGAATAGCCTCTTTTTTGGCTTTGTGATGAAGTTAAAAGTAATAACAAACTAATTAAATATAAAAAGAAGTCTGTTTACAGCTTCAACATCGTCAAAAAGATTCTTTATGAGTCTATGCTTAATGATAAAACTTGCTTGCCTATGTACAGCTCTAAGCTAATAACTATACGAAGTCATCATAATAGTGGAATTTTGAAGAGCTAGGAACCAACAAATAAAGACAAACCACTAATATTTTCAGTTGGTATAGCCAAAATTCAGTCAGCACAAAGCATGTGCTTTAGACAATTTTCACTAAACTTGGTGATAAATATTTAGCAGGCTACTTAGAAGTTTCTTAGTAGCAAAAGTTAAAACATCACATACCTTTGAAGAAATATTTGTTTTTCCAGCTGAATAATAATTCCTGAAAACATAAATTAAATACTATGACACCAAAGTAGCTGCATAATTTGGTCAGCACCTACAAGTAGTGCTGAAAACAAGAAAACATTTCCGAAATATAAAGAAACAAATGTATTAAATGTATTTAAATCAATGTATTAAGTCAATATTCTCAGTTTGGGTATTTTGCTAAACAGTGGCTAAGAGGTACAGATAGATTTCCAAAACCAATCTCAGATTATTGTGTGGCATAGACCTTGATTTAGTAATAAATTTTATAACAAATTAATTTTTCATGGGATGCTAAAATAAAGATTTGCCAGAAAATATATGTTATTGACAGTAGATGCTTTCTTCACAAAAAACTATTTTAAGGTAGAATTTTGCAAATGTAATCAGCAATATTGGAGCTGTTTTATTGGGTATTTTAAAAATGATTCTAGGGAAATTTTCCAGTTATAGCTATATACCTGAAATTCATTTTGTACATCATTCAGAGGAATACTTTAGAAACAAAGACATGGAAGCCCAAAGTGCACAAAATACTTGCACTACAGGGTATCATCAACAGTTAGTTTTATAAAAATAAGACCTTGAATAGTAAAATCTTTAAAATACTATGTAATGATAGGGGGAATGGCTTTGAAACTGTTGTTATCTTGAAAAGATGACCTGAATATTATGGTGAAGAACATAAAAAATTGGCAGAATTAAAAATGAATTGAACATTTTCTTTTCACCAAAGCCAGGTGTTCTGAATGAGTTGACATCCTCTGTAATGTTGTAGCTGTCAATAATGTGCTCTCTAGTAGATAGCTATAAATATAAAAGCAAAGCAATCATTTTTTCTCTTCAAAATGTAGCTTATTTTTTAATGGAACTTTTGAATAGAAAATACACGTATGTGGTTCAAAATGCAAAAACGGAAAATATTATATGTGAATAGTTACTTTCTCTTCTTATCCCTCATCTGGCCAATTCCCCACACCCATGTATTACGTTTTTACTTTTTTATGTATTCTTCCAGACTTTCTTTATAATTATAGGAGAGAATAGGAATGTGGATTTTTATCTCCCTGTTCCTTTTTACACAAAATGTAGCATTTTATACGTACCACTCAAAAAACTTGTTTCAAATAATACTAGTCTTGGAGATCTTGCTCTATCAATATATACAGTACATCTTCATTCTTTTTTAAATATTCATCAACAGACAACTGTATGCTGCTTGATTTTCCTTTATATGGATTCAGCATACAGTTGCCTATTGATGAATATTTGTTTGTGGTAGGCTTTGTAAATGTTCACTGATATCTGCTTCCCATGCCTGGAGAAGCTTATTCTTTTCAATTCTTCTTCAGAAAGGCTTGGACATATGTCCTATTTTGACCAATGAAATATGAGTGACAGTGACATAAATCACTTACAATAGAAACTTATTCTGCTTCTTTTTCTTTTTCTTCAACAGAGAATGAAACTAGTACAATTTCAGATGTTTCCTTCTCTTTAATCTAGATGGAGCATAATAATTAGAACCCATGCTAGACCCCTTGTGTTAATGAGGAATAAACTTGTATTACTGATATCCACGAAGAGTTTGTTTTCATCTGTTACCATAGCATTACTTAGACAATCATGACTGATATAAAAAATGGTACTAGAAGTAGTGTGCTATTATAACACAGAACCTAAACAATGTGCCATTGTCATCTTGGTTGGGCAATCAGTGGCAAGAAAAGTATTGTTAAAGCTTTGGAGAAACAGTGTTAAAACTGTCAGCTGAAATAATTTGGAAAGTCAATAATTTCCATTTTAGTTTGGTGGGAAGGATGGAAACAATACTAGTAGGGTGGGTTGTCTATGGTTGGGTGTACTTGAAAAAGAATTACAAGAAGAGATAACCCTAGAGCAGAACTGCCAATTTGAATGGAGAGAGAGAAAAAAAGTGAGTCCTGAAAGATAAGATGTGAAGTTTGCAAGAGGAAATTGTGTTTTGACTTCTGACAAAGCTAAGATTAAGGGAAAGAGACTTTGATATCAGCCTTATGGCAAAGATCAAATAAAACATATGGACCATATCAACAATTGCTAAGACATCTGCACTGGTTAAGTGGCAGGCAGTGCATTCTTTTAGATGGAAATAGGACTTAGTGAAAAGAGGCTAAGGAGGTGGCTTCCTTAAATACCCTGGCAGCTCAAGGTATTTGCAATTAAGTGTGTATAGAGAAGCATGTCTTGAGAAGAATTCTGAGTGTGGCTATTTGCATATATGCTGATTGAAATTAAATAGATAAAAGGCCAATAATTTTTTTGAGTTATACTACCTAGAGAAACATCAGCGTGGACATCCATTGTTATATACTTAAAATGACTATTGTACTTCCAATGCCCTATGGGCAGAGAAAGGGCTGAGAAAGTTTCTCATTGGTTGAAAAATTATATAATCACATGAACTTTTGAATTGTAGCCTAGGAGGATAATAGAAAAAGAGCTGACTCCCAGGGGGTGGATTCAAGGACTGTGGAGAACAATGAACTGGGAATTTCTCATAGGAAGATGAAACAGAGACCAATCAAGGAATATTCTCCACTCTTGGAATAGAAGCTCATTTATCATATGGTCTGTGTGAATTGGCATTGCTAAATATAAGTAGTTGCTGTATATTTTTCCATCTCAATGGAAGTGCTCATAGCAGGTGTGCTGTCCCTATTTCACTACTGTGTATCTGGTAGGTCTGGCCAATGATGGTAAACTTGATGAATGACTGAGACTTAGGGCTTCAAGCTCAACACAGTAGATGGATGGGATGTTTGGATATGTTCCCTTGGGAAGAGGTGAGTGCATATGTGAGAAAGGGAGGGAATTAAATACTTGGTAATAAAGAGCAGACTGTGGTAGACCCTATTACAGTTCACCAATATTCAATTCCCCACCCTGAAAGAGAATTATAATTCCTCCTCTTACTGGGGCTGAAATGGTCCATATGTTTTGCTTTTGCCAAAGAAATGTAAATATAATTGATGTAGTCATAATCTTTATATAATAGGGCATTATGTGAGAATCTCTTTACTCTTCTGTTGCTGAAGCCTGCAGTGTTCCAGATAGTTCCTTAAACTTGGTTCTAGTGAGAGGATACATTCCATGAGCAGTATCCATGTAAAGACCTTTGCTGAATGTGTAGCAAGAGTAATAAATAAAACTTTGGTACTTTAAACCACTAAGACTTTGTTAATGTTTGTTACTTCGGCATAACCTGATCTATCCTGACTGATACATGGTTATCTCCAAACTTTTGCTATATTAAATAAAGCTGCAATGACTTACACATGTTATTTTGAAAATTTGTAAGTAAACTTAAAGTTTAAATTCTCAAAAGTGGAATTACTGGGTCAAAGGATGTAAACATAAGAATTTTGATAGATATGGCTGAACTGCCCTCCATAATACTGTTATCAATTTACATTTTTTACTAGCAGTTTTTGAGGTGCTTATTTACCCACAGACTTGTCAAGAAAATGTGTTACCAAAATTTTGGATAGTCAATCTGGATAGTGAACACTTTATTTCAGAATAAAAGCTAACAGTTTGAAAAATAAGCAAAAAGTAAATGTTTGGGAAGAAACTCACCCTATAGAGAAAGCATTTTGTAAAACAGATGTTTAAAAATGTTTCTACTGTTACGTGATTCTGAAGCCAATACAGATATGAATGATAGAAAACTTTCTTGTTGTTTACAGAATTATAAAACATAGTCACTTAGAAACAGAATTTTTCTAACGTAGTTTAAAATCTTCCATGTAAAGAGTTTCACTGGATTTTGTATCAAATTTTTAAAAATAGAGGTGTGAGCTGAAAATTCTCTAAAGAAGAAGATGATGAAAATGGTCACCAGGGCTGTAGCACTGGAGATGGAAGATGAGATCAAAGATGCTTCCAACAGCAGATGTTCTGTAGGAAGCAGTGGATCAGAAAAGGCTCACTTTTCTTCTGATGAAGCAATAGAAGCTAACAATGAGGATGGTGTTGAACCCTGAGACCAAGAAAATGAAGATGCTACAGAATCCAGTGTTGCAACTAATATGGGCTGGGCAGATGCCATGGCTAAGATCCGTAACAAAATAACTCCTAAAAGTATACCCACCATTCCGGTCGAAAACACAGAGCTGGAAAAGGAAAAAGAAAAGGTAAAGCAAGAAAGACTACAGAAAAGAAAACAGCTTGATAAGAATCAGGGGTGGGAAATGATGTGCAGAGTAAAGCCAGATGTCAAAGACAAAGAAACAGAGAGAAATCTTCAGAGAATTGCAACGAGGGGTGTGGTGCAATCATTTAATGCTGTTCAGAAGCATCAAAAGAATGTCGATGACAAGGTTAAAGAAGCTGGAGGGTCTATAAGAAAACATGCTAAGATGATGTCAACTGTTTCCAAGAAAGATTTCATCAGTGTGCTGAGAGGAATGGAAAGAGCTACAAATGAGAAAAGTTCAACTGGGAAGAACCCAAAAGCCAAACAGACTGAAGTGAAATCAGAAGGAGGCCCAGGTTGGACGATCTTATGTGAAGATTTCATAATGGGGGCACCTATGAAAGACTGGAACAAGGAAAGCGATGGGCCTGGTGACAACAGACCATGACCTGTAAGTGACTGTGACACATAGAGCAATACAGAAAACACAAGATGCAATCGTTTTATTTTTCCTAGAAAAATACTTCATCCTCTGACCATTGGGAATTATAAGGGCACCATTTGTAGGAAAGCCAAAAGACATTTACTGTTACAGGTTTTGGTATTCCCACTTTTTACATAAATTTTGTTAAAATTATATTTTCAGGGGCCGGCCCGGTGGCGCACTGTGCTAGTGCGCCGCTTGGGAAGCGCGGCGGCGCTCCCGCCGAGGGTTCGGATCCCACATACAGACCGGTTCCCGCTCACTGGCTGAGCGAGGCGCGGGGGCAACACCGAGGGTTGCGATTCCGTTGCCGGTCCCGGTCCGGTACGGGGGCGACACTGAGGGTTGCGATCCGTTGCCGGACATGGAAAAAGACAAAAAAAAAAAAAAAAAAATTATATTTTCAGCCCTTGTATAATTTAAAGCTTTGTTCTTCAAAACATTTGTAAAAAGAATATTTCTGCTTGACCAGAGAGATTTGCATTTTGCCAGCATCATTATGTTTACATAATGGTCACATCTGCTGGTGTGTTGTTTCAGTATCATCAATTTTTATAGAAATGCAATACCAATTGATAATTAAAATGAACTCTTTGAGGTTAATGTTTCTCTGCTTTCCAACTTATAGACCTATGTATGTGTAGTTTTGGAGAATGATTGGTGTGTTTTGCTTGTTTGCTTTGGTAAGCTGTTGAGAAAACCTATGTAGCCAAGTTTAAAAATTCTAGTAAAATATAAAAAAAAAATAAAAAAAATAAAGGTACAACGTCTTCTGATTGTTTGGAAAAATTGCTAATTTATCTCAGAAAAGCAAACATTTATTAAGAAAATTAAGGTATCAAAGAAGACGCATCATATAATTGTATTACTAGATACATAAATAGTATTTGATAAAGTTTAGCACTCATTAGTGGGAAAAAAATCTCAAAACTAGGAATATAACATTTTCTTAATCTAATAAATTGTATACTATATATAAAAAGTTTTACAGACATTATACTTAATTGTACTATTAAAAACTTTCCACTTGAGGGCCGAGCCCGTGGCGCACTCGGGAGAGTGTGGCGCTGGGAACGCAGCTGCGCTCCCGCCGCGGGTTCGGATCCTATATAGGGATGACCCGGTGCACTCACAGCACTCACTGGCTGAGCGCGGTGCGGCCGGTCTCAAAAAGGACAAAAAAACAAACAAACAAAAAAAAACTTTCCACTTGAGAATGAGAATAACATGATGCCAGCTACTGGCACTTCTATTACATACTGTGTTGGGGATCTTTTAAAAATTTGTATTTATTTATTTTTAATTGACATATAATAGTTGTGTCTATTTGTATGATGTTTTGATCTATGTATACAATTGTAGAAAGATTCAGTGAAGCTAATTAACATATCTATCAGCTCACCAAATTATTTTTTTGTGGTGAGAATGTTAAACATCTGTTCTTTTAGAGATTTTTGAAATATACAGTACTTAACTGTGGTCACCATGCAGTACAACAGACCACTAAAACTTATTCCTCCAGTCTAACAGAAATATTTTACCCTTTGATCAACATCTCTCCTTTTTTTAATCCCTCTTCCTCCCAACCTTTCAGCCTCTGGTAACCACTATTCTACTCTGTTTCTATAAGATCAACTTTTTCAGATATATTGGAGATCAGTACTACAAGACATGAAAAAGAAAGAAAATACATAAGAATTAGTCAGAAAGATACACATCTTCCATTATTAGCAGATGACATAATTGTGAAAAGAGAAAATCCAAAAGAATGAAAAAATAAATTATTATAATTAATAAGTGAATTTAGCAAGGTCACTAGATACAAGGTCAGTATATACAAATGAATTGTATTCCTATATGTCAGCAACAAATAGCTAGAAATAATATTTTAGAAAGCTAATAACTAAAATGTTGTAGAGAGAATGTTACTATTAACAATATCATAAAACCCAGAAAAATCCTAAGAAAGAAATTTAGTAAAATATGTGCAATATCTCTGCAACAGATTATTTCATCAGCAGCACTACAAAACTGCCCCTAGGTGAGAACCACCATGCTATAAAAAAATGACCTAGCACCAAGAAGAAGAATTAAAGTAGGACTAGATAAATGTAGAGATTTATAATGTATATTGTTTGAAAGATTTAACAGTATAAAAATATCAGTCCTCCACAGATTGATCTGTAGTTCTAATGCAATAAAATTCCCACCTGTCTTCCTCCTTGGAAGTTAACAGAATGGTTTTAAAATTTATATGAAATGCAAAGGAGGGTAGTTCAGAGAAGAATTACCAAAGAAGAAGAATTTGGTCTGTGCTTTTATTCTCCTTCTCTGACAAAATGAGGGAAAGTTCAATTTTCTGTGGAAACAGTTTGTCAAAAACACTTTTACTTCCCTTTCTCTGTAGTCAGTCTCTCCCTTGACTGGAGTGGTGACGAATCATGTTTTTGTCTAGAATGCCTTTACTTGCTTCACCAATTGGCCTAGGGAGGGTAGATGGCAGCATTAAAGTCTGCTTGAGATTTGCTTATATTATTTAAGCCTGCAATCCTCAAGCAAAGACCTATTTGATCCTATGAGTGAAAGAACCTAATCATAGTTCTACCTTTGAGCCGAATAACTAATTATTAATCAAACTAATGCATCCCAATAAGACTTACTAATTGATGTCCCTATTTCCAAGACTCTAAATGGCAATGGACAAAACCCAGAAAAATACTGGCATTCAATCATGTATTCATATCTAGGTGGCTGTTTCCTATTCGCAGCAGTGCCTATCCCAATAATCTCCTATTTCATCAAACTCCCAATTTCAATTTAAAGTCAGTTTCTGGGAAGCTCTCTCAGCCTTCTCATTCTGAGTTGGGTGGTTCTCTTCTGTGTAACTTTCAGACCCTGTTTGTTTATGTTTCAAGGCACATTGTACTGTATTCTCGGTATTACAGGAATTTTAATCTCAATACATCCATTGGGCTAAACTGCAGAAACAAATAAAACCAATATCTCAAAAACAAAACAATTTTTCAAAAATAATAGATGTTTACTGATTGCTTAAGTAACAGTACAAGGTAAGTATGTCTCATTCTCGGGTATCTCATCCATGAACTAAGGCATCTTCTACTCTTTCCTAAGTGTCATAGTCACTTGCATTCAGTGCAGAATGAGAAAGAGCAAGGAATATGCCTGGGAGAATTTTTTGACCAGACTCCATCATTCTGGTTCTATTTCCTTGGATAGAACTCAGTTATTTGTCCCACTTAACTGCAAAGGAGGCTGGGAAATGTAGGCTAGCTGCGTGACCCAGATCAAAGCCTCTATCGTACTGTTCAAGCCAATTTAATTGTCTTTCCTGACCTCTTTTCTCCCCTGTAGTCCTAATTTCTTTTATTATGTCATCCTTCACTCATTCTCTAAAGCTATGAAATGTAGAGTGTTCTATAGTCAAATGGAGTCCAAGGAAGACCAGTCAGCTCTTTGCTAGCAGTATATCTACATTCTGCAAATGTTCCCTTTCCCCTCTAACCTGGTTTGGCTTTTTTTGTTTTGTTTTGTTTTGTTTTGTTATTTTTTGTACTGGTTTTGTTTTAAACCACTTCCCTGGAGTAGATCACAAATATCTCTTACATAATCTATTTTGAAAGTCAAATAACTTATTTTACTGCCACACCGTGCTTCTTTGTTAAACATACTTCCCACAATTATGGCAACAAGATTTCAAAATCCACAAATCTAATATTAAGATTCTCTTAATTGAGTCCCCATTATATGAGTCCTGTTTGTATGGGTCCCTGTTTCCTAAGGATTGAAATTAAATCCCAGTAGGGTGTTCAATGCCTTTTATAATAAGAATCTACTGTCTCCCACAGCGTTTCCTCTTCTCCTTATCCCTCTAGACTCCAGACTCAGGATGCTGTTTCTTGCCCCTTGAATAAAACATGCAATCTTAGGGCTTGAATTCTTTTCCTCTCTCTGCCAGAAATATCCTTTCTCCCTTACTCTTTTCTCATTTTCCATCTCCACCTGCTTGATATAACTACTCCTTAAGGCATAACTCAAATGTCACATTCTTTGCAAAGCTTCTCCTTCTTAATATCCATAATCTCAATTAATCACTCACTTTTCTCTTTCTCTCCCACATGAAATGTTTTCAGTTTTCTTACAGCATTTATCATTGTGCACTTGCACTGCAGTTATTTGTGCATGTGTCTTTTTTCCTTCACCCAGGATAGACTGTGCTATTCTTGATAGTAGCTGCAGCATCTCATCCATCTCTGTGTTTCCAGTGTGTATACACAAATTACATACTTGTGGTACTGCATATTAATAGCTCAGAGACCTGTTTATCAATGTTTTATACAAAACAAAACAAAACAAACAAACAAAAAAACCTTGTGTGTGTTTCCTTGATTCTTAGAGAAGAGAGCTTGGAAATAGTTCTAAGGAATTAAAAGAATACTCTGTAAACAAATATAAAAACTCAGGAATCAGAAAAGAAAATTTATTATATATATTAAATGTAATTACCCAAGTAAATCTTTTAGAGTAGTATTGATCAACCATTGCAAGTGGAGAGTGCTTATATATTGAAGTAAAGGCATATGACCCAAGTCATATGGGCTTTACTAAGAAGACCTGAAAAATTCTATGTAGATATACTTCAGGATATGAGTGATCTACATATCAAGAATATATTTTCTATGACTATGAAAGAGGTAGAAAAATCTACTGGACAATATATGGACAAATACAAATTTATCTTTAAAGGGTTTATGAAAGAAAGACAGGTAAGGCAGTTTATCAGTGACTGACAAGTAATCTACAAGTCAGACTTTTGTAGATGACAGAATTCGAGGTCAGAACAACCTTTGATGGAGAATATCAACTTTTGCCTTTCCTCAGGCCCTATCAATCCCTACACAAAGTCAGTCTAACTAGCCCCTGCCTTAGTCAAGGAGTATATATAA